TAAGATGGGAAAATGCTTCAAAATGGACCACATTATCACTATTGTAAAAAGTAAAAAACTACACAATAGTACCAAGATTCAGGAGCTACGAGAAACTCTTTAACAGCTACATGAAACTTCACAGGCATTTATAGATGTACACATAATATTGGACTACAGTATTCTCAAAGAAATTACAAGTACTACAGAATTACATGAAACTGAAAAGGTAGTTGCCAACCAAAATTGGCGAGGAAATGAAGTGTTCTTTGCTTCTAGCCACCTTCCAGATATGGTTCAAAAGTATCATATACAGCAGCCCCGAACTGCACATAAATCATAGCATAAAACACCCTGGCACCCTGCACATCTACGAGTGAAAGTACAGTTGGCAGTTGAGGCAACTGAGATCAGCCACGATGTAAAGTACCTGCACTTGATGACGTCCTGCTCCCTTAAAATCATGTACATGGCACATGAAGGGGGAAGGAATACAAGGGCATCCTATTAAGCCCACTTGAACAATAGCAGCCAACCTGCCTCCTTGACCAAGTTGCAGCTTCAACCACAGCGAGGTAAGCGCTGTAGTTCCACACCCAAATAAGAAGCAGCATCAGCAAGAAGACTATCATTGGAGCCCTTGAAAACTGAAACAAGTGCTTCAACTCGCATCAAAGCTGACACTGATATTGACAAGATCATTCCCTGGGCTAAGTATTGTCTGCATGAGAAGGCTAGGCCATATAATAAGCGAATCAGCCGTAGGGAGCTGTCATGCTTCAGCAAGTCCATGACAGCGCTCAATTTAGGAAGATTTGTCAACAAGCCCACTGTGGCCTCTCGAGGTGCTGCCTTGAGTAACAACACTACACAATCTGACGCTAAATCACTTATCTGTGGATCTGAATTGCCAACTAGCTCAAGAAAAATACCCATGTTGCCACCGAAGTCGCATATATCCATGACACAAGTTTGTTGATCAACAGCAATGCTCATGCTGAAGGCACTGTCAACAAGAAGTGCTGGGTTTTTGGAGAGGGCGATACTTCTGTTGCTGCCAGTGCCACGAATAATGAAAGCTCTGCAGAGTTCCAGGGTTGGTTCAAGAAAATCATCCATGTCTTTTGCAGCAACAAACTCAAGTAGGTTCCCTATTCTTCTAACAACGTGAAGCTGAGAAAGAATATGGGTGTCCATCTCGGGTGCAGATGCCAGGGCAAAGCAAAGCTTGACATTGCTTACATTTGCATTTGACAGATCTCCTAGCAAAAATTCAAAACACTGGGATACTGTTGCTTTGTGCAGAATATCAGAGACTTTTACACAACCATGTTCCATTAGCATGACTAGCAGTTTTTGTGCATATATGGGTATGGGATCTTCATCCTCTGCAAAAGAAGGGTACAGTGGCAGAAAGTGCCTCTGAGAGATTGATTTCAAATCAGTTATTGTTTGTTCGTCAGAAGTTAATGAAGAGTCACTGAAGATCACAATCATCACATCTGAGAGTATCTTCAAACACAGAAATCTGGCATCACCATCTTTATTGCCCTTGTATAAGGCAGATAAGCTTGGAATGATACGACTCGTGAATATTTTGTGTTCACCAAGTATAACAGAAGGCTCCTCTGTAGCAGCCTCAAGAACTCGCAACAATGTCATTTGGAAATCATCCCTAGCCTGAAAGTACAACATGGACATAAATAATCCCTCAACGCAAGGATTTTTCAACAAATAGATTGTGCGATACAAAACATTGACAAGGCAAGACAGCACCAAAATTGCAGTTATACAATGAATGAAATCTCAACATAATCTCATCAGGATGAAATATCCATATAGTTCACAAAAATCATACCTGAAACGGTGCCTCCAAAATCTTAATAAGATTTGCCAACTGAAGCAATACATGGCCTGTCACAACTCTGTGCTTGAAGGATGCACTTCCCAGAAGATGAAGAATAACAGGGAACAAATGAATTGTGCTCTTTGGATGAGCTCGCCCAGCTAAAGCAGTAACAGGTCCATGGCGTTTGCCAGCCATAACCTGCTGTATATCGCTGGAGACAGTGTCAAGAATGCCAGGGACAAAAGAAGCAACCAACTGCACAAATGCTTCTGTACATTGATGAATGAAACCCTCCTTCTCTTTTCCCAATCTATCAACAGCTGATATTAATTTTGCATTACAAAAGAAGTGAGGAAGCCACCTTCGACTATTCTTGCAAAGCAGAGCAACAAACAAAAGGGCCTTCCCACGCAGAACATCAGTTCCCTGTTCTATCAGAGAAATGAGCCCGGGGACCAATTGTTTGTCATCTGATAATGAAAGAATATACCGGTTCATGCTTGTCACAGTGTGACTGTTAACTAATGCCGAATTGAGAATATTAAGACTAATCTGCTGTTCACGTGGATTTCCCTTGATGAGTGTGGATGCAATATCCTTGAATGATATCTTTTCCAGGATTAAGTGAATGCATGATGGACTGAAGCGAGAGAGGCGGGCCAAACAAGATCCTGCAATGAGCCTTGTACTCTCCTGCTTTCCAGTTGCTTTATAGATGTAGCACAGATGTCCAATCGCATCCTGAGATGCAAAACGGGATGTCCATTCAGTTCCTTGGCTACATATGTTATCGATTGTCCGTAAGGCATATAGCTGAGCTAGATCATCTTCGCCCTTTCGCAAGATAGATGACACCAGTGCAATTACAGCACTAGGAACCTGTACAGTTTAAACCAAGGATTGGCACATTAGAAATTAAATGGAAAGGGCTTCTTCAAATGCATATGTACTAAAACTACAGTAGGTAAAATACTTATGCAGTTATTTTATAGGAAACTAGCCTGTATCAGGTAATTAAGCAGTATCAGGTTAACATTGCAAGAGCAAAATACTAACTGACATCTTTACATATTATACCAAAATAGGTATATTAATTAATCATGAACACTGCAAAGAAAATACTATAAAATTAGTTCTTCGCTAAGATCACAACCTAGCTTGTACAGCTTAATTAGTTTTAAGCCTCTATAACAAACAAGAGTTCTGCAGAACACCAAAAAGTTTACACTTACACATCAATAATGGCAAGAGCATGTCTAGAATACAAACACATTTGTGCTACATCAATGCACTTCGAATGTACGTGAGCAGTAATGCAGTGTGCTTATGTGAATTATAAGAAAAATTCAACTAAAAATTTCCAGCTAGGAACATCACCAGAGGGAAAGGCAACGATGCACCAGAACCAGTACCGATTATTAGATATTTCTAGGACCCAGTACTTTACTAAGGTAATGTATCATCTAACTACACAATATGATCTATAATAAACTTGACCAGCTAAATCAACAAAACAATAACATACTACTTATTTTGATTCTGACCTGCCAAGATGTTGCAGACCTGTTATCCTTCAAAGGGGATTCTTGGGTATTGATTTCCTTCGTATCTTGATCAGACTGGGTAGAAATATAGAATAATAACTCTCCTAGTGTTGCCATACAGAATCGCCTGAGTTTATCATGTTTATCCCTTAACCCATCTGATAGTGCATTAAAAATTCCTGAACTTGCCAACTCCACATCAAGAGCAGTGGAATAGCGTATCAGCAACCCCATAAGTGAGGCAATTTGGACACGCAAGACTGAAGTTTTTGACAGTCGAAGCATTTTTATTAGTAGCAACATAATTGGTCCATTAGTTATTTTGTTCGCAGCATCTGAGTGCATGCTTAACATCTCCAGGTATCTGATAGTATTTTGTTTTTCTGAAACCTGATAAGTTCCACTTAAACTCTGAAGTATCTGACTGTTGAATGCATTCATCTGTTCCTGTGGTAACTTAACATAATCACTTGCTGTAAGAGCTTCAAAAGGAAGTGTGGGGACCATGTCCACAGCTTTATCTGCTTTCCTACTAGGCATAACTGGTTTAACTGCAAGATCTGTTGGATGCCAGAATGCTTCAAAGATGTTAGATGGCTCAGAACCAGTTGCAGGACATGGAGTTACCTTGGCACGCTGTGCTTTTCGCGCATGCTACTAGGTGGTGTAGCCACCACATCCAGGTTATCTGAACAAGAATTCTGCTCAGTTTTCACCATGATATCAGGCTTAACTGACCCCTCATCTGTAAGCATGTCAACCTGATTTGCCATACAATTCTCTTCATTAGCATCAGTGCTTTGAGGCTTTTCATTTCCTGCAGATCCAGGATTATCCGACCCATCGGTGTCAGGTACATCACCCTCTGGATTTTCACCAAAATCAAGTTCCATGTCATTATTTTCTATATTAACTTCAGTCTCATTCTCAGTTGTTTCTGTGGGAGGGCGCCTGTAGTTCTCCTCATCCCTTTCCCTTTGCAAATTTAATTTAGCAATGCGAGACATTCTGAGGATATTTACACCTTTGAAACCCTCAGCTTTTGGTTTTGCACTATTTTTCTTGCCACTTTGCACATTTTTAACAGGTGTCATGAATGCCTTCGTAGAATTTTCATCCTTCTTCCGAAGGCCACTATATTCACGGTGCTTGGGTGGTGTCAACTGTCTGGAAGGTTTGTCACCATTTCTCTCAACTAGATATGGTGTAGCAGAAAGTTCAATCATGTTGTCAAAAGCAGGCTGAGGAGGTAAAGAAATCATCGGGATGGTTGTTCTCCAGAAGTTGTGTTCACACAATTCAGACCACTGTAATCTTTCTGCTGGATCTTTCATGAGTAAGCAATCAATCAGATTTTGGAAGGACCTTGATGGATTATCAGATAAAGGTAGTGTAGGATCCGAAATTATAGATTTGACCAACTGTGTAAATTCTCTGCCTACAAAAGGGGGCCTTCCTGTATAGCATTCATACAAAACACATCCAAGTGCCCAGAAATCAGAAGCATATGAGTGGACTCCTCCTTCTCGAAATAACTCAGGAGCCATATAGCATGGTGTTCCCCTCATGGGTTGTGGCACCTATAAGACAGTAGAAATTAAGGATAGGGATATAAATCAAATGGATATGAAAACATGAGGAAAGGAAACTCTGTACGAAAAGAAAATGAAAGCTTACATCTCCAGGATTGGTTTTCTCGATGTCTTTTAAGCGCCTTGCTAATCCAAAGTCACACAGCTGGTACAACAAAGCGAAACAAAAATAGCATTGTTTTTGAATTATTATGCCCTGCTTAGATAGTGGAGCGGTAATTTTGCTGTGGTTCAATAAGTACCTTCATGCATCCAAATTCATCAAGCAGAATGTTTGATGGCTTCAGATCACAGTATATAATTCCTTGAGAATGCAAGAACCTACCCAAATGTTCCCAGTAAATCAAAGTTCATTAGTTATTATGAAAATAAATCATGATAAAAGGATTGCAAAAAAACTTCACTGAAGAGCTTTGACGAGATCGTAAGCCAGGTCATGTATAGAATTTTCAGGAAGCTTCTTATCCTGCATGGAAGCATAACCAATGATGAAGAAACAGTACACGAAGGCAAAACAGCAAAAACAGGGTAACAGCTAAGTAACATGTGATTCACAAGGTGGCTGTTGCCAACAAAGGTACAAGAAAATAATTAGAAAGCCACATACGTAGATGATTGTTCATTTGCTCTTTCATTTTCTCAAGCCAAAGTGTACTATAATTTTTAGCTCTTAATTTCAACATCTTGATTACTACTACCTGAAGGGCGGGCCTGGTGCAAGCGGTAGAGTCTTACCGCCTCTGACCGGAAGGTCCCGGGTTCGAGTCGCGGTCTCCTCAAGATTGCACAAAAGCGGGGTAAGGCTTGCCATGACACCCTTCCCTGACCCTTCGCAGCAGGCGGGAGCTCTCTGCTCTGCACTGGTACGCCTTTTTTATTATTATTACTACCTTCCAAATTATAAAATCGCTTTGACTTTTTTGGTTCATCCATTTTGCTATGTATCTAGATATAATAATATATCTAGATGCATAGCAAAATAGATGTACCAAAAAAGTCAAAACGACTTATAATTTGGAACAGATGGAGTATTATTTTTGAAGTACCCAATTAGGCAATTACAAGTAGCAAGTGCAAACCAATAATGATGTATTTTTTATGCATTGATGTATACGGTCAGTACTTGCTAACTTAAACAGATTGGTTACAATTTCTTAACCACATAAATACATGGCATGCACTGTATATCCTTTTAGAGCTAAAGAAAATTGCATGCAGTAACTAAATTGACGAGCAAGAAACCTGTTCAAGCAAGCCCTTCAGGTCTCCACCAACGCAATACTCCAACACTAACCAGAAATGTGCGGAGGTCTCATACCTGGGGAAGAAAAGTACAATATAAGTATGCTATGTACTGGGCTGGTCACATTATAGAGCCATAGAGGAAAAAGGGCATCAACCTATTACCAAACTAGAAATCGTTGTCACATTGCAAGATCAGAGAAGCTGAATCTATAGAACTCAAACACCCAAGAACCTTACCAAGAGTAAAATTTCAGGACATTGGCATGGTCTAAGGAATGGAGCATCCGAACCTGCAAAGATAAGTTCAGAAGCAAAATTAGTATGAAGGAACAGAACTAGACAACTAAACAAGTACAAGCATGCCAATAGTTGTACAATCATGCTCCCAGAAATGAGTTCTCGATCTAAAACTAAAGCATGACAAATTGATCTCCTAGACAGCAACATCTTAAAATATTATTAACCTTCACAGTTAAGTAAGGGGCGTACCGAGCAAAACAGGTGACACAAAAGGTATTCTTCTTCATAAGAAAGAAACAGGTATGCTCTATACCACACAACACAGCATCATCATAAGCAAACGCAAACTGTATTACTGTAACATGTCTCCCATGGGCATTTTATTAGTAATTAGCTACTGGAAATATAAAACCAACAAGCCTAACTGTCAGCGATTTAAGGTCTCGTAAGCCCTGCTAAATATATAGTTCTAAATAGACAACACCACCTAACCGTTCCTTATAGGTGAATAGGATACATCAAATCCTCGAGAAAAATTAACAGCCTACGACCACAGAAACCAAAGATGTAGCGATTCAACCACGCGATTCACGATGCACGCGGGGAAGGAGAGGGCTCACCTCGTTGAGGACCTTGGAGCGCTGCGACTTGTCGACGCTCTTAACAGCGAAGTACTCGATGGTCTTCTTCTTCCGCCCCTTATACACCGTCTTCGCTCCACACAACCACCAGCACCAAATCACAAAACGAACCAGAGAAGAAAAAACACAGAAAAGGCACGAATCGCTCGCACCGGAACTGAAACCATCCGGGGGGTTACCGAGTGCTTGCCGCGGCCGATGGCCTCGTAGACATGGAAGTTGTTCATAGCAGAGAAGCAGGAGGCGGAGGCGGGGCTCCCCTCTCGTCGCCGGTGAGGTTAGGGTTTGAGATTCGGGAGGACGAAGCCTGTGGGAGAAATGGGGGAGGAAGACGGGGAGGGATATGGGGGTGAGAGAGTGGGCAGGATTTTGAATTGAGACGGCCGCTCTCGCTCGGCTAGTTTACGAGTTTTGGGCTAGCCGGTGCGGCCCGTGCCCGTGCGTGCGGAGGCGCTCCTCCTGCTGATTTGGTTGAAAAAAAAAATCCTCTTATTTTTGTGACGTTGGTTTGGTTGCGTTTTTTCATTTGGGACCCTGCGTTTATTCTCTAATTGGTAGGTGTTATTTTGTATATATTTTATCCGTTTTAATTTATAGATTATTTTGGCTTTTCTATATATTTTTTATTATGTATCTAGACATATCATATATTTACGGCATAGCAATAACTATAGAAAAAGTAAAACGACTACTCACTCCGTCCCAAAATAAGTGTATCTCTCACTTATTGAGAAGTCAAACTCCTTTTAAGTTTGACTGGGTATATACAAAATGATATTGGTATTTATATCGTCAAACAGGTTTAGTGTAAAAGTATATTGCACAATCAATCTAATGTTATTTATTATCTCCTACAACTAAAAAGAACAAAGTGTAGACATTTTTTGTGCGACATTTGTTTTTAGTTCGTCCGTCTGCCCACGTCTGCGATCCACGACATCTCCCGCATGCTGCGTCTCCTTGATTGAATATTGCCTGTCATGTGATAGAGGAATCACGGCAAAATAGGAAATAGAAAATTATTGTGCTATCCATATACACATTGCATGTTTGCATGCACCAGCATATATGGCAACGAGCAAAAAAAAAAGAGAATTAACACAGAAGGAAAGAAAATTAAGACAAAAGAAATCTCTTTGCATTTCTGAGAACCTTGTCAAATCTGCCTACATTTAATTATTTCTCCTCTTTGTATTTGCAAAAGGGACAGCTTTTTCCTCCTTTCATTTGGTTTCACGCTCACGTGTTCCATCGCCCTCGCTTGTTGTTTCTTGCTGAAATTGCCCTTGGGTCTGTTCATTTTGAATCATTTCCCCATATCCCCGTTCCCCAATCCATGGTTCATCGCGATAGTAGACACCAGACACCATTTCTTGCGTGAATCATAGTTGATGTCATCTGTCTTCCATGGCTCAGCTTCCCAATCCCAAGAGAATGTCCCTACCTCTCCCTGACTAAAGATCCGACCTGTCAGAGGATCTTCTCAAGTCCATCGGGCAGCGTCTCACGTCAGGCCACGATACGGCGTCCTTCCGATCCGCTTGCTCCCCATGGTGCACCGCCGTCCCGCTCGCGACCTTCAGGCCGCTCCTGCTGCTCCCGTTCGACCCTGACTCGGACCGCGTAGGCTTCTACTACGTCCCGGAGAAGAAGGTCTTTGTCGAAGACGCTGCCCGACGTGCACGGCAAGGTGCGTGCGGCTCCTCGTGTGGGTGGCTGGCGCTCATGGACGAGGCGGCATCGTGACACTGCTGAATCCATTCGGCGATGCCCGTGCCCCCCGCGTTGAGCTCCCGCCAGCAGGCGAACACGTCGCGGCGGCGTCCTCATCGGAACGCGTGTCTAGGGTCCACGGTCGGTGGGTCCTTCATCCCACCAACGGCTACGAGGACGCGGATGCCGCAGTCAGAGCCATCAAGCTAGAAGACAGGAGGGACATGTTCTTCCGTGAGATCGTGCTCTCGGCGCTGCCTGACGTCGCCGGCCGCGAGTGCGTGGCCATGGCGATGCTTGGGTGCTCCACGGAGGTCGCGTTCTGCTGGGTTGGAGTCGACAGCGCATAGACGCTGCTCGACACCAAACTGGAGTTCTCCGTGGGGTCCATCGTCCACTGCCAAGACAAGTTCTTGGCAATCGACTGCACTGGAGAAATCTCCGTCTACAGCAGCAACGCTGCTGGCGCTACTCCAACCACGACGCTGCTGCCATCGCTGTCGCCACCTGCGGGGCTCTACCACCGCAGCTACCTAGAATCAAACGGTGAGCTGCACATTGTGGGTGCCATGGTGAGCACGTTCCACGAGACACAGAGCTTCACCTACAGCAGCGCGATCTATAAGTGCAACCTCCACGACCGTACGACGGAGTGGTCCAGGGTGAGGGACATCGGTGATCAGACATTGTTCGTGTCTAAACATTTTAATAAAAAGCTTCAGTGGAATAAGTGTATCCAAGTACAAGGAGAACAAAATCTATATATCTGAGCCATTGTATGGGGATCCATACGACTTGGTCTATCGATTGGAGATCGTTGATATTGCTACCGGCGCATCTGAAGTGAAGCCCGTCTAGAAAAAGATGCAGGGTTCCGAAGCTTTAAGTTGATTCGACCCAATCTCTAGAAGGATCATTGCAAGACATCAATCATCTCATAGCTTCGGACAATATCGCAAAGCTACTAAAAACTGTAACCATGCCCTCACCTCAAACATTGTCCAGATAAATGGATTACAATGAAAGAAATGGATATCGGAGATTTCTTCCTGCCAATATAAAATATTATCTTAGCCGCATCACGGAAAGGTCTATAAAGTAGAGTTTGTGAGCCTGCGACGCCGCGCACTCCGTGACTGTATTAAATTCATAAACTTTGCCTTTTGGATTAAATATCACTTTAACATTGGTATTTAATTTTTACAGTATTGTTATCTTATCGTGCGATCCGTGTGTTTTTAGTATAAATTGTTAGTTATCCCGTAGCAACGCACGGGCACGCTACCTAGTACATCATAAGTGTTAATATTTTTTGTATACATTTGGTACTCAATAAGTAAGATGTGTGCTTATTTTAGAACGGGGAAGTATAATTTAGGACAGAGAGCGGTAAAATAATAGCAGTAGAGCATAGAACCTTTTGCAAGGAGAATATAGGACATTCAGTCTGTTCGGCAGCTTGTATTCGGCTTATAAGCATTGGCTTATCAACCAACGAACAACATTTTTCTCTTACACCAAACCAACCAGCAGTACTTTCAGCCATGGCTTATAAGCCAATCCAGCCGAAACGAACAGGTTGATTATCTCGAACTTTATTTTCCCAAAATGTATCATTTGGTGTTATCAATCTAACGTAGAATCATTCTAAATATGAACCTGATTATAAATTGTTATACTCTATAAATGTACTCGTAGCTAGTTGACTATCTTTTCTCAACATATGTAAAGTTTGGCTTTTTAAAATAAAACATTTTTTATATTTTTGAATGGAGGTGAGTCTTAATTAGGTAGTGGCGCCCCAAAGTGCCCCTGAATATTCTTTTGGTAGTACATGCATTTGTTATTGTAGATAGTATTGTATATGTTTTGTTCAAAAGAAAATTGTATAGTCAAGTCTAATTTAGAGACGTTTAACTTAAGATTACTAAGTATATTCCTTAGAACATTCGAAGTAGCCCGCTCAAGTTAAATATTCGATTTACCGCAAAGCGATCGGAGCAATACTGCTGACTAATTAATCTAGGGGCAAGGCGATGGACCCCTCGGGCATGTATTTGCATCACCTATCGCAACATCTTACACAATTACACTCCTAGGAAAAATAAAACAAAACAAAATTTCAGTATCAATCGCCCTATTCGCTTGGCTTATAAGTCATACTTTTTCAACCAACGAACAATATTTTTCTCTCACAATAAATCAGCCAACAGTCCTTTCAGCCATGGCTTATCAGTCAAGCGACCAAGTCAAATGTTTGCATGCAAAAGGTCAAACAACTGAAGACATCATGATCGAGCAGTAAAGTCATGCTATAAATTATAGTATAATGATTTGGAATGTATAATTATGGGCTCTTAACCCAGTCAAAATATTAGCTGCGCAAAGCTACAATATGCTAGAACCCAGCCAGTTACCAATTCTTAGTACAAAATTCCTATGTTCCCTAAATAGTATTTGTAGCTTCAGAGTAGTACCACCTCGGTGGTTTATTTTGGTCGTCCGTTTAGAGCAGTTGAGCACCATCATTAGTCCTGCACAATCTCAGAGCTTCAGGCGGAAAGAATTTGGCAAAAATAGGGAGGTGTGTACTCTGACAGCTTATTTGCAACTGTCAACTTGGGAAAATTGTCCTTCAAAACTGCTTGTGAGCTTCTCAGCAGCCGCATCTACCCTCTGGTTATCCTGAAATTATGATAAACATAATTATGTAAGAAAAATAGTGTTTGCATGAACTAAAAATGATAATAGAATAGCTACTGTTCCTATTTGAGCTATGAGAGAGAAAAAATACTTCCGTGTTATCAGTCATGCCTACATTTTCATTAGCTCACATAGTTTTGCTTTCGAGAAAACAAGTGTAACTGTGTAGGGCGCTCAAATAGTGCATTAGCTGAAATCTTTGTCGATGAGTAAGTAGTAGTGAATAAATGCAATTTGCAAATATACTACTCCCTCTGTATTTTAATATGTGAGTTTAAGACAAGCTAATTAACTAGTATAACTTTTTCCTTTAGTTTTCTGTTCTAGCATCGTATAGAAAATACAGAGGGAATATTTATGATCATTTGTGGGATTAAAGTAGTCATCTGAACTGTCCAGAGAATTCATTGTCTACCTTTCCGGTAAGATTCACAACCAAAGGCCCAGCTCTTGATATCCGATGACACCCTGCACGAAATATTATCACCAAGTGTAATCAAGCAGGTCACAAGGGCACATAAGCTACACAAAAATAAGGGGATCCGAGATCCCCCCAGGCATCATACCTATGTAAACGTCAGAAAACTCTAAGCACAGTTTTGCAAGGACCGGAGCAATCTGAACCTGAACAAGCATGCAGCAGATAAGTTCACATTAGACCACTAATGGATTAATAATATACCTCTAGAAGGACAATATTTGGGAAAAATACAAAATAGAATATACATTGAAGAACAATGTAATTCATGAATCATGACTCTTGATATTTATCCAATTAGACAGTATTCTCTTATAAACCCCAAGGTACCATCTGGAATCATAGGTATACTCATTCCCAGAAAGTTTAAAGGGGTATAGTTTGGCAGAACAAATTGGTTCAGTCATAAACATAATGATCAAGCAAAATCGTGACTATTGAGGACATATGGATTTTTCTACTTTAAAGTTTTAAAAGAAAATTAATTTAATAGCTAGTATGGACTAAACAGGTTCAATTGGTCTATCTGAAGCAATCATTCCCAAGAAAATTTGGTATGTGTTTCCAAGGATAGGCTTTGAGACAAATGACAAATCCATTATGGCAGAGAGACATACATCTGAAAGTGTAGTGCTGAGATGCTTTGACACAAAAGGTTTTGCTGGCATTAAACCACTCTCCTGAGTATCTAGAAGACAATCCCACTCGGTTTCTAGTTCATCCATATTGGTTGCAGCAAGAGCAATAACATTTCTGCATTTGATCTGCATAAGGAAAAAATATCTATAAGGCAATACATATGAAATTGACTACAATCTTTAAAAAATAAACATGGTGAGAAAACTTTAAAAATATCTGTATGCATTTTCTAATCAGCTGCTGGTTCAATGCCAGACTTTACATTCTCGCATGCCCCATAAGCTTCCAAGATAAGAATAGGTACCATTTTTATGTAAAAAATTATAGGAACTTGACCGTTACTGTGTCAGAATTATATCATAGAACCTACTAGGTCCTTAGGAAACTCGAAAAAGAAACTGTAGCTTCAGAGTTCAGAACAGACATAAATGCACCAAACTACAGAACATACCAATGGTAATGGTAGCGTTTTGTGATGCAGTAATTCAGTAATACCTTCTGGCAACAGTGCCATCTGGGAAAGAAAGAGAAAAAAAATTAACTCGTAAAAAGAGTGCACTTTGCTAGAATAAGCACATGCAATCACAAGCCAATGTACATTCAAGAAGTTTAATACTTGAAGCCCAGATTACCTCATTTCGATCACCGGTGTAATTGTTTCCCATGAGTTGACTAAGATAATCCTCAAACTCTTCATCAGGAGCCTATGCTAATGCAAAGCAAAGATAAGTTGATACTAGGAAGTAGGAAATGACATTTTGTCAATTTAAATAATGAAACAACCATTTGATATACAACAACAACTCATAGTTATGCCATTGAGAGGATCCTACATTTCATAATGCAGCCACAACATGGTTTTCTTGTGACAATAGTGCAGCCCTATATAGGTCAATGCACATGCGTTTCTTCATTGTAGAATAAAAAAATGCAGAAAATACACCACACAATATTGTAATACTATAATAGTGAGAATTTATATAGTGAAGGTCATAAATGAAGAAATACTACAAAAATCCATTTTTGCAGCAAGAAAATGTTATTGGACGCACCAGACGAACTCCAAATGCTTTCGCGACACCAGCCAAAGAAACGTCTGAATGTAGCGGCCCGAGTCCACCAAAAATAAACACCTTAAATACAACATGAATTTCATTACACAACTGGCTTGAAAATTTTATACAATTAATAGCCTATAGGCACTAACCATGTCATCAGTAGATTTACAACGTTCAACTTCTTCAGCAACAGAATCAATCTGCAAGGCCACACAGATACACTCTGTTAGATTACATGCCAGTAGTATTTGAGAAAGAATGACATGACAGTGGCAGCTAATTAGAATATTTTAGACCAAAACGTAGCAATCTATTAAGGGAATGTGAGCTGGGACATGGATTTAGGCCTCCTTTGGAGGGCAGGAATTGTCCAGGAATTTCCCAAGAATCAATTTTTTTAACACCGCCAGGAGCACTAGCATATCATGTAAGACTCGTATTGGACGCCTATACCGACCGCACGCTCAAATACAGGTGAGAGTGTAAGACTGCCCAAGAGATCTCGGAACGCATCTACCGAGCACACATGCACACACACTACCCACACACGCTGCTCAGTTCCCTCAAGGGAAAACACCGGTGCCACACCCGGCTGATTCCAAGACTGGGAATAGAACCCAGGGGGGTGGCCTCTGCTACAGGAGGATCCACCATTGCACTGTGAGTGCATTGACAAATCAGTTCATTTTCAAGGAAAAACTCAGGAAACATGAAAATTTCCCGCGTTCCAAAGGGGTCCAGGGCCATAGTATTACTCCCTCCGGTCCCTTTTAGAAGGCATACGGCATACCAATAAAAGTTAGAATACAAAGACAGGTATTTAATTTTCACCGGGTGCAGCGCTCCTCTTGGCCGACTTCTGCATGTGGCCCTGTTCGCTTGGCTTATAAGCCGTACTTTTTCAGCCAACGAACAGTATTTTTCTCTCACAACAAATCAGCCAACAGTACTTTCAGCCATGGCTTATCAACCAAGCGAACAGGGCAGAATGCGCTGAATAGACATGCATGCAAAAACAAATTTATAGTCCTACTACTCGTGCGCACACCGTCTATGTGCATCTAATTACTGCTTGCGTCTCGTTTTTTGGTTAGCCCTTATTTGTTTGCTTTAGTGATGGATGAGGTCACAAGGGACATACAAGGGGACATCCCTTGGTGTATGCTTTTCGCGGACGATGTAGTGCTAGTTGATGAAAGCCGGATAGGAGTGAATCAGAAACTGGAGTTATGGCGGGAGACTTTGGAGTCCAAAGGTTTTAGACTTAGTAGAACTAAAACTGAGTATATGAGATGTGACTTCGGCACTACTACTCGGAAGGAGGAAGATGTTAGTTTGGAAGGTCAAGTAGTGCCTAGGATGGATACCTTTCGATATTTAGGATCAATGCTACAGAGGGACGGAGATAAAGATGAAGATGTTAGCCATAGAATCAAAGCAGGGTGGATGAAGTGGCGGCAAGCGTCTGATGTCCTATGTGACAAAAGGGTACCACAGAAGCTAAAAGGCAAGTTTTATAGGACGGCGATTAGACCTGCTATGTTGTATGGTGCAGAATGTTGGCCTACGAAAAGACGACATATTCAACAGCTAAGTGTCGCGGAAATGCGTATGTTGCGTTGGATTTGCGGGCATACAAGAAGGGATCGAGTTCGGAACGATGATATACGTGAGAGATTAGGGGTAGCGCCAATTGAAGAAAAGCTTGTCCAACACCGGTTGAGATGGTTTGGACATGTGCAACAGAGACCTTCAGATGCACCGGTGCGTAGTGGAATCCTAAGTCAGGATAGTAATGTGAAGAGAGGCAGAGGAAGACCGAAGTTGACTTGGGTAGAGGCAATAAAAGGAGACTTGAAAGGATGGAATATACCCAAAGACTTAGCCTTAGATAGGAATGCTTGGAAGACAGCTATTCACGTGCCTGAACCTTGATTGTTTCTGTTGGGTTTCAACTCTAGCCTACCACAACTTGTTTGGGACTTAAAGGCTTTGTTGTTGTTGTTGTTGTTGTTATTGTTAATGCAGCCCGATATTCTAAGGAATGCCTTCTATAATGGACTTGACAAATTTGTTGGTGCGTCTACTAAAAGGGACCGGAGGGAGTATTCCAATAAGTGAACTATACTTACCTCATTGTGAACAACTGCTACATGAGAAACCCACCAGCCAATTGCATGAAGCTTCTTGCACAAGGCTGCTCCTAAGTTATCCTTAGTTGTACCAAACCTGAAGAATCAAAATGGATTGGTATGGACTATATGTTAAAATAAAGGTTAATAAGGAGAAAATTTACACAAAGACATTGAGGTCTGGTTATTCATCAAATATTTTTTTAAAAATGGATTTCCGGGAAACATGAAAAAAATATGAAATAGTGTAGCAACATTAAGTGTCTGGCATTATTAAATAAATCGACTAACACAATGTATATCTCTACTTCGGAATGCCTGGCTACACTTCTCCTATCTCTCTGAAGTGTCCAGATTATCAATCCATATAATTCAATCATCCATCCAAAAAGCAAAACCAAAGATGAAAGAATTTGAAGGATTGGGGCACAAATTTCAAGTAAAGAAAAAGAAAAGGAAAAAGATCATGGGTTCCATTACTATCATGAACTACTCCAAGCGTAAGAACCTGAAGCATAACAGAATTACATGAAATGTGATAACTAGAAGGGATCACTCACAAAATTTCATCACCGACTACAATGATTGATGCTGCACGTGAGATCATCTGTCCTCCCTCAGTATAGTTCATGCCATTGCTTACAACAGAGTTCATTTCTACTTTAGGATTAGTCTTTTTTGTTCTACCAGCTCTTTCAAGCCTTCCATCTGTTAGCATGTATGCTGGTCTAAAACTTTTCTCAGTTGATGAATCACTAAGAAGTGCATTTGGAACAGTATCATGTATGCTCCCAATGGAAGTATACCTGAAATCAGTATAGATGAAAGATGTAAGTTATATTGCAAAGTTAATATCAAAGACCAGAATACTTCTGCAGTGGATTCACAAAATGAGCTGAAAACAAGTGTACAAGGTAACAAAAATGCTCATCCAAAGAGAGAGAGAGAGAGCAGGGGTCCTTTTACATTTTTAGCTATACAAGGTATGCAAACAGGCAACTAGAAATAGGAAGTCTTGAACATAAAATAAGAACCTACCCTTGATCATAAAGGCTGCAGTATTTGACCTTACATGTTAATAGAAAAGACCAAACATCCCTGGCACAGAAAATAATGCTCCTTAGCATCTGAACAAGCATACTAGAAAAGGCAAGGCTTGATTTGTTACATGATCAGGAAAAAAACCTGTATGACCAATCCAAGATAGGATTCACCCTCATAAAAGGGGGCCAGCCAGGTGAACTAGGAGAGAACTGTTCTTGACCAACCTATCATTTCAAAATTGTGTTTACTCAAAAGTCGGTGAGATACCAAAACTGTAAGGAACTGGGAACACCATGGGCATAATCATTGTGTACAATAGGTGCAAGGGGTTGTTAACAACAAATGATCAATGGCAAAAGAAAATCACCGCATTTGGATCACCAATTCTTGTGCCAATGAAAATTGCTTTGGTGGGCTTCTCCTTCAGAAGGCCTTCTAGACCAGACTTGAAATCTGAATGGATAGTTTCCAGTGGTAACCCATAACTGTGGAGCGTGGGGACAAAATAGAATGAATACCAATCAATTTGGCTTCTCAAATAGCAGATAGACTAAGGGTAAACTTAGACACATCTTAGACAGCTCTTACGTTGAGACAGTCTCATAAGTGAATGAGTTGATTTCAGGAAAAGCACAAGGGCTTTCAAAATAGATGGTACGCAGTGGACAGTTTTTAACAGCATTCATTTGGGCTACATCACCAGAGTCCTTCTTGTAAAGGTAGTAACCAGCTCGAATCAAATGCAGGAGCACCTATCAACACACATAGTGTCAAACTTACAGAGAGATACTAATTGACACTGATCATACAACATCATGAGAAAAAGAGAACATAAAGATATTTACAGTTGAATCCTTCCCACCATTAAAGCTGAAGGCAACTTCCTCAAACCTGTAAAGTGAAACAAATGAGGTTAGAGAGCAATGATAGGAATATCCTCTAGTCTTGGCATAATGAATACTCTTTGAGGGAATAAAAAAGAGTACAAAGTATAGTTTGAAAAATTATGGTAACATTTCGAGCACATCTAACTTGTACCCTGTTTACACAACAGAATGAAACACAGAATTGATTACCCATAGATAGTGTAGATCCAATTAGATGCAACATTTTAAGAACACTGTACACAAGAATAACAGCTTCAGGTTAAGATTAAATCATAGACCTGCATCATGGGTTATATATATATACCCCTAAGGGTGCATATGGAGGTGATTATTGTTCCTCTTATTATCAACTTAAGTGGTAACTACATAAAAACTGTTAAGAGCATAATGCCCTCTAAAGTAATTTCTAACACTTTGATCATTGGCGGTGGCCTAAGAACAGTCAGAACAACCTGAGTGAACTGCAGCAGAAGCAATGTACCTACTTTCTGCTGTTTCAGGACGCCGACTGGGACCCGCCCACCTGAACTAGTGATCTAGCCTGTTCGTTTCGGCTGAAACGATCGTATAAGCCGAAACGAAAAGTTTATGACCGAAGCCAAAAAGCCAATTGTTTACGATTATCTGCGAGCACCCCAGTCCCCAGTAGATGTCTGGTGAGCAAGCAGGCAGACAACAATTGTGCAATCGATTAAGCAACCTCCACCCGATATACAAGTACTGGTATGTCGTTGCTGCAGGGGAGCATAAGCAGACAAACAGTGACAGAGACAGAGACAGGCTGCGCGTTGGAACCCAACGGCTGCAGCTCCAGTCAGTTTGAGATCTACTCCGTGAGCACGCGTCAACTCGATGTTCCCGCCGGTCCCTCCCCAAATCCGAACCCACGCCTATCCCTCCGCCGGATCAACCGGCACACCAATCCAAACCACGGAGCAGCGCAAGCTCAACACCGGCGCGCGGCACTCAAAATGGACCCGATCGCACGCGCAGCGAGCGCCCTCCGCACCCCGAATCTCGAACTGCCGCGCTCTGAATCTCGAGCTCCCTCCCCACTGGATCATCGCGGAACCAGCACCCCCCCCCCCCCCCCCCCTCTCAGGATGTGAAGGAGGGGAAGCTTACGGGTAGAGCGCGAAGGCGCGCTGGACGACGTAGACAGCGTTGCCGTACTTAGTGCGCAGGCGGCGGTCGCTGCACCCGCGCACCGCCTCGTCGATCTCCATCCTCCGCTACTGCTCCTCCTGCTCCGGCGAGGCGGGAGCGAGGGCGGCGGTTGAGGAATGGTGGGAGGCGTGCGTGGATGACGACTCGGCTGTGTGTTTGCTTGGGAGAGGGGAGCGGGGCCGCGGAGACAAACGCGAAGGGATCGGCTGCCTAGTTGAAGGGAGGAGAAGGAGAAGGAGAGGGAGGAAGGCTGCGGCCTGCTCCTGCTCCGCCCGCCGCCTGCGTGGATAGACTGCCCGTTTCGGATCTTTTTCTCGCCTTCCCGGGAATTTTATCTGTTTATTTCGTCGGATATACTACTGCCATTGCTGCCAGCGCCGTGGACATGCCGTGGCGCTGACGTGGTGGAAAGGTGTCCTCGGAGTGGCCCCGGGGGTTCTGTGACGAGTGGCAGGCGGCGGCTGGTGTTGTCCTGACGTGGTGGAACGGGACCGCAGAGAAGAGAGGTTCCAGCGTGAGGAATGGACTGTGCCTTTTTTCCATCTTTTTTCTATAGATAGTTTTTGGTAGGAGTACATACACATCGATCGTTGCAAAAGGACACAAAGACCTCAGAAAACTTGGTAGAGAAGAGAAATACTCACTCCATACAAAAGACTATACTTCTCACTTTAAAAAGATCAACAATTCAATGTTTAACCAAATTTATATAAAAAATACACACACTTGTGATTTCGAATAAATATGTTTGATCAATAGTGGAATATCCTCCCTCCGTACTGAATTATTCAAGAGAATTAGAACGGATGGAAACAAAATGCAGGTGTTATGCAAATAAAATTTTCATTAACGCACATTGCATCCTGCTAGCGGCGTACCATGTGTTTTATTCTTTGGAGTAGAAGTGTTTCTTTTTTTTTCTCAAATGTTTGTAAGTATAACGTGCCTTTAAATTGTTGAAATGAACACACGTTCCGCGGGTGGCTTCGAATACCTCTTTGAACTTCGAAGATGCACGAGGTTGAACCTAAAAATATTTCTTAAAAAGAAAACCCTATTGGAGTAGTTCTCCTAAAAGTATCCACGTCCACCATGTTGTGAGTTGTGAAGATGTTTTTCTACCATAATGACGATGATGATAGGCCAGAGCACCTACTGTTTTTTTTTACTTAAAGAAATAACAACTGTGGTGGAGGAACCAAATTCGAAGAAGCTATTCCTCACTTTATTTATCCCACACAAAAAGCGTCCACGAAACTTGGTCCCTCACCCACATCTCATCATCAAGTCAAGTAAATAAATACCAATACACCGATGCGTAACTTCCAGGAATTTCAGTTACCATGTAATTGATTTCCATATATATCTCTGTGGGGGTGCCAATAATGCACATATTTTTTTTAGAAAGCCAATAATGCACATATCACTACCATTTTTCACACGAAATTATTTCCTTTCACAATAAAGACGAAAACAACCAGAGTTTTTGCAGCGGCTAAATCATCTACAGCTTACTCCTTTGCCGTGGTTCATTGCTGTTGCTGCCATTAACCGAAGAATCTTTCCTCCCAGCCTTCTTGGCTCTACCAGCCCTTTCAAGATTCCCATCTGACAGCGTGTATGCCGGCCTATACCCGCCCGAGCCATCACGCAGAAGCTTGTTTGGAACAGTGTTGTGTATGCTGCCAATAGAAGTGTACCTGACGGCAGAGCAACTGTAGTTAATTAGATGCATGATACTCGCTTAGAAATTTTGTATGGAAGAGCAGAGCTAACAGACTACCAGTGCATGCATCATAGTACATTCTAATTTTTGATAGGTTGTACCTTGATCTACAGGGGAGAAGGCAACCTAACATCGTCTACCAAAAAGCGTACAGTCTGAACATGCACTGAAAAGAACACATACCCTTGATCATAGAGGATGCAGTATAGGACCTTGAAGGTTAACAGGAAAGACCACACGTCGCTGTCACAGCAAGCAAGGCATTAGAATTAGCAGCTATCCAGGTCGAATATATAAAAAATTTGATTGAAAAAAGGTCGAATATAAAAAAACAATGCTCTCTGATTCAGGAATAATCAGGAGCCAAACCTGTAGGACCAACCCAAGATAGGGTTCACCCTCATGAAAGAAGGCCAGCAAGGTGAACTAGGGGAGAACTCTTGTTGACCAACCTACAGCAATTTCACACCGTAATTATATGGGCGTGGATTATGCAAGAACATGGAGAAATCCCCCAAATTACTGCAACATGCCATATATAAACCAGTAGAGGTGTAGAATAAAAGCAAAATAAATAAATTAAGGCCCTGTTCGAGGGACGAATCTGGAGGAATTTATGAGAGAATAAATAGTATTTTCATCCATAAACAATGTTTTCCGGCTGAATTTTAGGGCAGCCAAACGGCCCCTAAAACGGGATCATTCGAGGGAGTCACCGCATTGGGATCGCCGTTTCTAGTGCCAAGGAAGATTGCCTTGGTAAGCTTCTCCTTGAGCAGGGCTTCTAGGCTGGACTTGTAATCTGCCCTGATAGTTTCCAGTGGCAAGCCGTAACTGCACAACATTGGGTATCAATTTGTCAGTCAAGAAAAACAAATGATGGATATTATAAATTGCAGCTGATCGATCGAAATCTCGTTCTTACGTCGATGCCGTCTCATACATGAAGCGATCGATTTCAGGGAAAGTATTGGGGTTCTCGAAGTAGATGGTCCGCATGGGGCAGTTTTTAACGGTTTTGGCCCCGTTCGCTTCGCTGAAAAAACAAGTCGAAACACTATTCCCGCTGATTTGTTGCGAGAGAAAAACACTATTTCGATCGAAAAAAGACGGATTATAAAAGAAGCGAACATGGCCATTATGGACCGTGCTGTCTGAACTTGTTCTGTGAAGGCAGTAGCCTGCCCGAAGCAAATGCAGCAGCACCTGTACGTCGAGAGTCGATTCAACGCAATTGCGTCGGTGGTTAGTAACCATCATGAACGTAAATAAATCAATATATAAGTTAATGGAAGAGATAATGAAGAGCAGGTGAGAGCAGGAAGAAAGTACAGTTGAATCTTTGCCGCCATTGAAGCTGAAAGCGAGTTCCTCGAACCTGTAAAGTAAAATCTCTGAGAAATCACACAAACTGTAACCAACTGCCACTCATGCATCCACCCAACCTAAAAACTAGAGTAAATAAAAAAGCGGTAGAACAAAGTAGATCGTAGGTAGAAGCAACTACCAGTGACATATTTGCGCATGCGCGCCATATGTGACGTACTACTAGACAGTAGACAAGAAGAAGACCAGAGATACAAAAAAAAAAAAAAAGAACACAAGAAGGAGACCAGAGTTTATCTGCACATGTATGTTTCAATGTTTGTCAGTTGGATGGAAAACGTAAGAGCATCTTTAAGAGGCTCCCTATATTATTCATAAATGCTAAGAATAGAGATTTTGATAAAAAATCACCCTCCAACAGTTTCTCTAAAGGGTTATAGGGGCAGTTCGGCTGGTCAGTTTTTCAGCCGGAATTCACTGTTCCTGGCTGAAAAACATTGTTCACTCTATCACAAATTCCTCCAGATTCATCCAGATTCCTCCAAATTCCTTCAAACGGACATGGCCATAGTCATCTTGTAGTCCGGATTTTTTGCTAGCTAAAAATAGAAGACGAGAATGACTCTCTAGAGTGCGCACGATGTATAGAAAAACTGTTGAAGAGTGAAACAATATAGAAAACGATTTTTATGCAAATGACTCTAAACAATCGTTTAGAGAGTGAGATTTAAAAGGCTCTCGGATATGCTCTAATAACCCTCTTTTTAAGTTTTCAACACATGACCAATGCAACCGTGTATTGATCACGAACCGGGCCTTGATGCTGTATGGCTCGGGGCCGTGGTGAAGTAGCTAGTGCTGTGTATACAGAAGAGTAGAGAGCGTGCGCGTGGCGCGTGGCGTACGTACGGGTACAACGCGTAGGCGCGGCGGATGATGTAGACAGCGGCGTCGTACTTGGCGCGCAGCCGGGCGTCGCTGCTGCCGCGCACCGCCCGCTCGATCTCCATAGATGCGCTGCTACGGTCAGGCCGGGGTCTCGCGGCTGCGACTAGCGATCGCCGATCGGCAGATAGACGACCGATGGATGGTTCGTTGGCAACGCAACTACGCAAGCAGAGACGAAGCAGCTAGCGCGAGGACGAGAGCGGCGGCGACGCGGTTCGAAGTCTGGTGGCACGCGTGCGTTGCAATCGTGCATGACCGGACCTTAAAGCACACGAGCAGACAGACCGAGAGGGCGTGTTTGGAACGCTGGCCCGACGGCCCGGCTGCGCTCGTGGGCTGCAACTCTGTTGTTTGTTTCGCTGTTCCTGTTCCTCGGCCTAGCTCGCACGCTGCTCAAAGCACACAAGGGCCTGGCTCCCAGGAAACGAAGGGGAGCTTCGTTTTTTACAGCCTGGCCCGGTGGCGCGAGCAGGTGAGCCCATGGAGCGAGCGGTGAGGGATTGGGTCACCTCCTGGGCTCTCACCGTTGTCCGCTCCGCAGAAAGGGTAAGGCAATGCCGCCGGCCCGCCGCCGCCGCCGTTCTCGCGCGACCTCCTCCAACGACCTCCGTTGATCCAGGGGCGCCTCCTCTAGCTCCCATCCCCCATCTTATCCCCGCATCATCCCCTTCCCTGCCGAAGTACTGCGCGCCCAGCTCGTATTTCGCCACCGCCGCCACCCTGGCCGCCGGGAGTCACTACTGGCGAGGACCCGTGCTGGGGTTGCACGGTTGCCATCCCCTTCTTCCCCACCAAGCCACCACCACCACCGGCAGCAGCACCTCTGCCGTCCCCGCGGTGGTGGATTTGGGGCACGAGTAGCTCCCCGCGGCGCCGGAGACGGAGGAGGGCCCGTCGTCGTCGTCGAGCGCGCTGTGGAGGGCGAGCTGGAGCGTGAGCCTGAGCCCGAGCCCGAGCACACGACGCACATGGAGCGGAGCAGGTCGGAGGCGGAGCTGCTGCCGCGGACCGCGGTTCCTCCCACCCACCTCCTCCCCGCACGCGTCGCACATGGAGCGGAGCAGCTTCGTCCGCGCCGCCCCGGACCTCCTCCTCGCGCCACGACCTCGCCCGCGCGCTCTGCCTACCCCATCTCCTCGTTCTGCCGTGGTGCTGGTCCTGCTCTTTCCTCGCCCCGTCTATCAACTGTTACATGGAATGCCCGCAAGGCAGAGAGGGGAGGTAACGCCAACATATCCAGATACTGGGGTGATCATATCCATCTACCAAACACAATCTGTATTGGGCCAGATCCATTTAGCGCGTGTTTAGTTGGGGAATTTGGTTTGTAGTACTTTCGTTTTTATTTGTCAATTAGTATTCAATCATGGATTAATCAGGCTCAAAACGTTCGTCTCACGATTTCCAACAAAACTGTGCAATTAGTTTTTTTTTCTATCTACATTTAATACTCTATGCACGTATCGTAAGATTTAATATGATAGGTACTGTAACACTATTTAGAAATTTAGTGTTCCAACTAAACACGGGCTTAATAGAGGCAACCAAATAAGTGGCCTTGTACCACTTCGGACAGGCTCTGGCTGGCCTGGGACAGGCCCGCGGGCCGAGCCAACCTCGGCCATGCTTTCAAACACGCCCAGAGAGACGCAAGAGAAGAGACCGGACTAGAATACGGAGGCCTCGCCGGCGTGGGCTGGACCTCGGACTTGACCTGGTATCGGAATACGGGATTCACACGTGCGGCGTGGACGTGTGGTGATTCGTTATGGGCTAACGGCCCAGCCAGTGGGCCTGACCTTGTTGCCTCGGCCCATGGAGCATGGCATGGGCGAGACGGCAGAATGGGTAACGCAAGCCCAGAAGCCCAAATTAGGGTTTCCTGATTCCTCTGTTTCCAGCAGTCCTGCTCGCTCCCTCGCTCGCTCGCTCTGCCGTCCGCCTCGCTCCACCACCGGCGGCCGCGCGCACCGCTGGCGTAGGGGCACAGCCGCACAGGAAGCCCCCGCCCCCGTCGACTGAAGCCTCCTCTCGTCGAGTGGGCGTCTACCTCTCTTTCCCCTGAGGTACTAGATTCGCGTTCGCGTGGAGTGTGATTTTTTTCTCTGTTCTTGCCAATTATTACTGTAGTAATTACATAGCTACGCCTTTTTCTTGCACTTCACTGTTGCAGGAGCTTCTGTTTTCTGCTATTATTGAGAGCAACCAAGTCCAATTCATCTTTTTAGAAAACACCAAGTCCAATTCTATTTTCTTTGATGCTTGGTTCCTGCTAATCTAATCCATCCATTCTTGGTTCGATTAGGTTCTCGTTCTTCAGTACGTGATATCAATCCACTGAGGCGGTGGGTGCAGCTATTCCCAAATTATATCGGGGGTTTCAGCAGAACCACGTCAATTGCGCCCGTGCGGGTGAGGGATCGTAAGAGCCTGGACTCGTGGTAGAGATGGTGAAGGCAGCAGCAAGGGTCCGGTAATATCGACATTCCCTTGTTTCCTTTGCGTTATTGTGGTGGTATGATTGGTGTGAATGGGGACGCCTCGAGTGCTCAGTATTCTAAATAAACTGGAGCAGTTATATCAATTCATTGTTTTCCCTGCATTTTACTACTTTTTTTTCTGTCCATTTAATTCAATGTGAGTAGGAGTATCACTTAGCTTGTGCATATCTTCCTCTTATCATAAAGCTTAACAAGTTTAGCTAGCCTGCTTGCTACAAATTGAGTTACAGTATACTTTCGACAGTGCACCATGTCTACTTGTATGCTGTGTTCTTTGGCATCTGAACTTTGCGTGAACTGCTGCAGCTATGAGCCTGGACCGGCTTTTGAGGAGGTCAAAGAAGAAGCCATGCTTGACATATCACCAACAGACTCGACAGAGTTTTGGTTAATTCAGTGGCCTAAAGACCAGGTAACATCGATCTTTTGCACCCTAGTAGTGTTCTTATAACGTGCTGCAGTCTTGGCTGTTTGATATCTTAGTGTTTCTTTGTGACGATGCAGTTAGATGTTTTGGATTTTCATGGCAAAGAGCTTTCTCTCAAGCTGAATAGTGATGGAAACTTGGGCAGCTTGGAAAGTTCCTCAGGTAACTTAGCTGATATGGACTGTTTTGAAGTTGCTTTGACTTGATTACATGGTTTAGTTGCATTTCAGCTTTCTGGTTACCCATACTACGCTTTGGGTACCATTCACTACAACTTTGGTCAGATTGGTTTCCCTGAGCATCATCTATATCCTATACTAGAGACATCAATGGAACCGATTGCATTTCCATGCCAAAGATTGTGTCTTGATCTCTTTTTTTATATATTAATTAGTGTTCCATAACCTAAACTGCTGGAATTTTAGTTTGTAGTGAAACTATTCTTCTACCAATTTCCTTGTATAATCCTTACGTCATTATGTGATGAAACTATTATTTATGGGTTCTTCAGAATATAAATTGAAACCAAGAGGGTACGACTTACAGTCTTTTATGTGAATAAGGCAGTGCTCATCATCAATATTTAAAAGTGTGATCATTGAAATGAAATTTCCTTGTCAGCTTTATCATGGACTCATGTCTCATAGCACCACATTACTAAGTAGTGTTACTGCAGTCAGTTGTCATGTGGAAAACATCATTGTCCAATTGTTGTGTCAAATAACTATTGAAATTTTTTTCACAAAGAAATATCAGCTGCTGCTAATGCACTTATTTTGCCAGGGAAATCTTATGAGCTTGTGAGCTTTGCAGCTCAGAAACCAGATGCAACTGTCTTCCTGCCTTCAGGGTCAGAAACAAAACCTGGTATGATGAAATACCAACTAATTCCTTTGATTGTGTGATATTATCACAGATGCTTTTGCCTCTTCCATTAGATAAAATGTTATTAAAATGGTGCTGCATATCTTCATTTTTGGTTTCTTGGGTTAGTTTTACAAGCCATATGGGCACTGCATTTGATGGCTTGCTCTCGATGTTTGTTTCTTGCCATTGGCTGAAGCATCAATTACTGTTTCTTGTATATTGTTAATATAATGGCCCTTCTGCTACAATAAAAAAATATTCTATGTAAAGTCATATTGAGTTTTGGAAATATATTTTTGCCCATGTGTATTACCATGGTAGTGCACTAGTGCTACTTGTTAGTTTGGGTGGTTTTGATCTTTAAGGAGCATACTGAAATAGGAAGAGGAGAAGCAGGACATGATTCCCATCTTTGAAAGATTATTATCTCAAATTGTCTACTTGCAGATAAGGCACACTTATAGTTCTCTGTTTATTGAAGGATAGCAACTGAGATATCTTGGGATATGTTGTTGAATATAACAGTCGAAGTGTGGAAGTTGGATCATATGCCTGCCAACTGATGAGAATATGTCAACCTTTTTTGTTGTAATTCTGATGAATCAGTGCTATTCCACATGGCATATAGTTCAACCCGATCATGAAAAAACAACTGGCATAGAAGCTATCAGTGGCAGATCTATGTATAACCTGTGGGGCCACCTGGCCCCACATGTTTTGCCAAAATACATTTAACCTCCTTCATAAAACCTGCAATTTATTTATATGTTAATTGTGTAATTCTTGCATTAATTGACTTAAAATCAACTAACTTGGGCCCACTGTTTTTTAATTCTGGATCCACCACTGCTATCATTTGATCATGTAAAACATGGAAATTAGTCTAAATCATTATTCTCTTTCTTAAGTTGGTGTGTGACATCTGGAGTAAATATAATTATTATGTTTAATATTTTTTTAATGAAGCCCATAAAGAAAACAGAGCTAAAGATAAACATACTCTGCTTAAGAATCATAATGGTTTTTGGCACTAGAGGTAAATACCCATCACCTTCTTGTGTTAGAGGCACTATTTTGGCTTTTCTAACCTGTTATTCATGTTGCATGCTCTTTTTTATGTAAATATTTTTCACACTGACAAACAAATGAAATACAGTGGGGAAGATTTCACGGCGAGTCTCCTTAGTTCATTATCCTAAACCTGAGGAATTGGCTAAACCAAGTTTTGGGAGTCTTACTCCTAGCAGTAAGAAATCTGCAGGTAATTCTTTCTTAACATATGTTTTCTTCGCTGATCGCACTTTTCTACTGCTAGCCAAGTTAGGCAGCATATGGCGTTGCAGATATTCATGGCTGGCAGTTTAATCTTGCTACCACTTGGTTTTCTGTTGAAGTTCTTATTATCATAACTGATCAACAAAGGAAAAGACAAGTCTGGTCCAACTGTATTATCATCTCTGTTGGAAACCGTTAGGCATACTACCTTCTTGATTTATGTTTTCAGTGCTAGTTAAAAAAAAACTGCTCTTTTATCCTAAGAAAAGTAGATACACTAAGAAGATAAGGAGTATGGACATTGGCCAAAAATGTCCATAAAATTTAGTAACCTTTTCTGGCGCACAATATTTTGATGATATACTCTTATCCATTTGAGTTTACTGATAACCGATGCCTCCTTCCTGTAACTTACATCAGTCAAAAGAAATGCAGCCAGTTCTCTTGCATGCCATTCTTCTTCTTTTCTTCTTTTTCTATAAGGGACATCTTTGTTGAACTGTGGTTGCCCGTGTTCCCACTTTCACAGGTTCTAAGAAGACCATGTCTCGGTTCATTAGTGCATCAAAGAACCGCAGTAGCCAAGGTTCAAGCGCTTTCACTGGGCCAAAGGAGTGCAGAGCCGACACCCAAACACAAGGGGAAGAGAAAGGATGAAAGCAGCCTGGGGCACTCAAATGTATCAGGCAAGGCCTCACAAGGATCTCAAGCTGGAGGCGCGGGGAGCAACATGGCCTCAGAGATGCCACAATCGCCATCAGAAAAATCACAGAAGAAGAGGAAGAAGGTTAAGATCGTGGAGTAGTACTGTAGTAGTGTCGCCTTGGCAAGAGATCAATTTCCCTTGAACTATCAGTAGTTGAGGAGCTGTGCTGAAATTCACGTTCAAGTTTCTTCATTCATTTCTGGTTTCAATTTTATCCATGCAGAATGTTTTGCTGGAGTGTCAGGTGTTGTTTGCCGAATATACCTGGGAGCAGCCTGTTGCATTTTGTTTTTGGTATCTGAAAGGCTATGTATGTTGGGTTGTTCCTGTTGGTGTGCTGAGCTGAAAGCAGAGTCCTAGCAGCTGCTATAGTGTTATTGCTGCTTGAGCATCTGAAAGCCTCTTTTAGTTGCTTGCTCTCGTTAAGCATAATCTAACCTGAGCATCATGCCCCTGCTAAACTCGTTAATAAATTCCTAAATGCTCGATCGTCTTCTAATTTCAAATTGGGCCTTGTTTAGATCACCTCCAAATTCCAAGTTTTTTCACTCTCTCTCCATCACATTAATTTTTAGCCGTTTGTACGGAGCATTAAATGTAGGTAAAAAAATAACTAATTGCACAGTTTAGTTGGAAATCACGAGATGAATCTTTTGAGCTTAGTTGGTCCACGATTGGACAATATTTACCAAATAAGACGAAAGTGCTACTATTTAAATTTTTTACAATCTAAACATGGCCTTGGTAACAATTCTGGTGACAACCGTTACAGCATTACAGTAGTCAATTAGTTCAGTGATCATACAGCAGGGTATCCTGAAATGCTACACCGCCTAAAACGGCAAAAATCCTTCATGCTATAGTTACAAGTACAGCATGACACTGTGGACACCTCGTGTAGATGTTGAGAGATCAATGGTGCCCGATTACTCTTCGAGTTCGTGGTAGAACCTCGTGTGCACAGGATTCTGGCTGCGATCTTCGCTCGACCGGCACACGGTGAGCTGAGCCTCTGCCGATGCCTTCCGCATCCCCGACACCCAGCCTTGGATGACGTGCTCATCTACCGGAGCTCCTCCCTCTTCTCCCACCGTGACCAGCACCAGCTGCTCCAGGGCAGGGGCCCTCTTCAGGAGGAAGGCCAGCAGCTGCAGCTGGAACCTCGTCCCTCGGAAATTCACCAGCTTGATGAAACTCAGGTGGTCAAGGACGAAGTCGAAGTGTTGAATCATCATTCTTGAGTCGTCGACGGGGACGATCGCGTAGCCGGGAATCATCATTCTTGAGTCGTCGACGACCTCGCCGGCCAGTGCTGCCGCCGCGTCGCTTGCATCGGTAGTGTGGCTGGGGACCTGCGGGTTTCAGAAAGTAATGTCCCGTTCAGAAATAGTACTGTATTTGCTTGCACTGTTGCACGTGGAAGTTGGAGGATGGGCAGCAGGAAAAGGCAGAGCTTTACGCTGACGAACAAGCGGTCCAGGAGTGGAAGCGGGTTGAGCTGGAAGAAAGAGGCGAAGCTCTGGAGGTCGTCGTCTTCACCTTCCGAGGACAGCAGCAGCTGCAGCTCTTGTATGTTCGTCATATCAATGTCCACGCACTCATCGTAACCTAGCTGTGCCCACAAATGCTGATCCGCGAGTAAAATTAGTGGTCAGTAAATTTCATGGCATTTCCATAATTTAAATTTCATACCAGCAAGCCGACGGAACAGAGCGTCAGAGCCCGGGCATGAGCGACGCAGCTCAAGAAGTTGGAGTAGGCGTACTCGCGATCCTGGTACGCGTTCACGTCGTCGTCGAAGCCGATGTGAGAAAGGTACGCCTGCCGCAGAGCCGGCGTGGAGCCCAGGTCGACGGCAGAAGAGAGGTCGTCGTAGTCGCTCGAGTAGACTGTGTCGCCGTGGAAGGCGAACGACTCGAGCGCGGGCGCGTTGACCCGGAGCTCCCGCACGGCCGGGCAGCGCACGATCTCCAGGACCCGCAGCGTCTCGCTGGCGATCCTAACTGATTTCAGCAGGTTGCAGCTGCTCAGGCTGAGGAACTCCAGCGCGCGGCAACTGGACACGACACCGCGAACCGCCTCGCCTGTGACGTCGGCGTGACTGAGGGAGAGCGATCGGAGACCCGCGAGCCCGGCCGCGCCGGCCGGGACGGTGCGGAGGCTGAACCCGCCGAGAGCGAGGCGCGCCAGCGAGTTCGTGGCCACGAACAGGTCGCCAGGGAGCTCCACGAACGCCGCGCTTTCGTCAACGGCGCCCCGTTTTGTCGGCGGCGGCCTCAGGTCCATTTCCACCTCCCTGGCGCCCCCCGCCACGGCGGACGCGACCCAAGCGCCGACGTCCCGCTCGAACGCGCCGGCGCCCGTGCCCTGCGCCGGCGACGTAAGCGCCACGCGGAACACGTCGAGCGGCGCACAGCGCTCGGCGTGGAGCCGGAGAGAGTAGCTCACCGTGGCGGCCGCGGCCCGCGCCGGCGCCTGGCCGCGTCCGAAGTCGCGGTCGGTGAAGTCGAGGACCCGGGAGGAGGCGAGAGGGCGCTGGTGCGCGCGGCGTGCTTGAGTGGGAGGCCGCGGAGGATGGAGTGGAGGATGTCGTCGGGGAGCCTGCTCAGCCGGTCCTCCCCCTCCTGTTCCTGTACCTCGATGGCTCCACTCTTGCTCCGGTGGCGCGATTGCACCTCCATGTCAAGCGGGGGTGCGATGCCAGTGCGGGATCACTATGGTTCAGACATGTTGGGTGCTTTCACAAAACCTTTATAGTACTCGGCAGCTACTCAGCTCGTTGTGCTGGTAGGTAGAACAGTAGATTTTAGATTCTTTTCAATGATTAAATAGTATTATGTAAGAGAGAATAAGCTAAATAAGTTGGAAATAGTATAGCCAAATAGGGTGAGTATTAGTTAGTAGTACTAGCAGCTTACATCGCAAGATTGGGGCCTTGTTTAGATATCCTTAAAATTCCAAGTTTTTTCGCTCTCTCTTCATCACATTAATTTTTAGCTGTTTGTATGGAGCATTAAATGTAGGTAAAAAAAAACTAATTGCATAATTTAGTTGGAAATTACGAGATGAATTTTTTGAGCTTAGTTGGTCCATGATTAGACAATATTTACTAAATAAGACGAAAATACTACTATTCATCGGGTTGAAATTTTTTTCAATCTAAACAAGACCTGGGTAAAAGACAGAGCAGAAGCACAAAACTTGAGTGAGCGACAACGACCTGAGACGCATCACCATGTTGGAGTGTCGTTGGCGCGCCTGCTTGCGACACAAGGAGGCGTGCTACGCAACCGGTCAAACATAGGTTCAGACTACTTGTCCAAGCCGGTTAACAATTAGTACATAAAAAATTAGCTAGGGTGAAATGAAATTGAATAATAGCAGAGGATAAATATAATAGATTTTGACCGTTAACTTTTTATAATATAATATTATATTATCGTTTGCCAGTCAAATCACATCATCACACATGCAGTTTTAATATATTTCTATTGATATAAGTTTTATGTCCCAAGCTTGTATATAATTTGATTTTTTTTTTGTCAAAGTTTATATAAGTTTGACTTTTTTATATAAAATATAAGAGATTTGCTAAATTTCAGGGGTATGAATTTTAGCTTTCTTTCAGGTGAAAGTTATTGCATATATTTTATGCTAAAATTTCAATTTTAGTTTGTTACAATTTCTGTAGACACAATTTGCAATTTTGACACCGTACAAAGTTATAGATCTCATCGAGATAATGACCTCAAATGAAAAAACGTAAAACTATAAAGTTGTAGATCTCATCAAGAGCTATAACTTTTATGTAAAAATTATCTTCATTTGGCACCATAAAAAAAGATAATAAAATTTTCAAGGCGATAAAAGCTTGTACGAGATTAATACGAAGCTGAAACTTTATATTTTTTTGAGCATCTCATTGATCTCAAATGCAAAAACTTAAAACTATAAATTTGTAGATCCTATCGAGAGTTACAACTTTCATATAGAAAGTATCTTTATTTGACACCATATAAGAAATGTATGATTTTTCTAAGGCGACAAGAGCTTGTACGTGATTAATATACTGCTGAAACTTTATTTTTTTAGCATCTTAACGACGTCAAATGAAAAAACTCAAAACTAGAAAGTTGTAGATCTCATCGAGAGCTACAACTTTAATATAAAGAGCATCTGCATCCATAGATTATATGAAAAAGATATAATTTTTCTAAACTACGCCTTGCCGCACCAATCTGGTTGGCACGGCGCTACATTTCTGCCATGCCAACGGAGTGTCATGGCAAGGTTGTCCGCGTGGAAATTGTTGTCCACTATGGCAGATCGTGCCACGTCGCGACAGCGTGTTTTTGTCGCGTCAAGGACTTAGATGCGGCCAAACAGGTTAGATTTAAAAATAAAAAGCAACTACCTTAGATTTAGAATTTGTTAAAAAAGGTTAAAAAATAAATCTGTCGCAAGCAGGCGCCAACGCCCAACGACACTCAAGTGCCAATATAAAGCGCGGATTCTCTTGCAGTCTTGCTAGAGAAGCCTCATGGGAATGGGATGCATTTGCGTGTTTCTTCTCGACCTAGCCTTAGATCGTAAGCTTTTTTACTCTCTCTTTATCACATTAAATCTTTAGACACATGTATGAAGTATTAAATATAGATAAAAAATAACTAATTACATAGTTTGATTGTAAATTACAAGACGAATCTTTTGAGCCTAGTTAAGCCATAATTAGACAATAATTGTCAAATACAAACAAAAGTACTACAGTACCACGTACTGATTCCTAACCCCAACCTAAACGAGGCCCTATTTGCCCAAATTGCGCTGTAAAGCAGCTAGTACTGCCGGGTATAAAGGAAAGGGTTTGTGAAAGCACCCAGCACTCGCACGCACCATCGCACCCATCCTGACACGGAAATGCGAACGCACCACCCGAGCAAGCGCGGATCCATGGAAGAGGAGGACAGGCTGAGCAGCCTCCCCGACGACCTCCTCCACTCCATCCTCCGCGAGCTCCCGTTCAAGCACGCCGTCCGAACGAGCGCCCTCTCCCGGCGGTGGGCGCCGCAGTGGCTCCGCGCGCTCGCCTCCTCCCGGGTCCTCGACTTCACCGACCGAGACTTGGCCCGCGGCCAGCTGCCCGCGCGGGCCGCGGCGGCCACGATGCGTCGCTGCCTTGAGCTCCACGCCGAGCACGGCGCGCCACTGGACGTGTTCCGTGTGGCGCTCATGTTGCCGCCAGGGTCGAGCGACGGCGTGTTCGGGCGCGACGTGGTCGGCTGGATCGCGTCCGCCGTGGCGAGGGGCGCCAGGGAGGTCGAGGTGGAACTGATACCGACACCGACACCGACACTTAGGGGCCTGGTTCCGGACTCCGACGACGGAAGCGCGGAGTTCGTGGAGCTGCCTGGCGACCTGTTCGTGGCCCGGAACTCGCTGGCGCGCCTCGCGCTCGGCGGGTTCAGCCTCGGCGCCGTCCCGGCCGCTCCGGGCGGGCTCGCTGGTCTCCGCTCGCTCTCCCTCAGCCACGTCGACCTCGCAGGCGAGGCGGTTCGCGACGTCGTGTCCAGCTGCCGGGCGCTGGAGCACCTCAGGCTGAGCAGCTCCGGGTCCTGGAGAGAGTGCGAATCGATTAGGATCGCCAGCGAGACGCTGCGGGTCCTGGAGATCGTAGGATGCATAGACGTGAAGCAGGTCCGGGTCACCGCGCCCGCGCTCGAGTCGATCGCCTTCCACGACGACGACTTCTTCTGGGAGGACGCCGACGACGTCGTCTTCGACTTCGACGACGACATGCCGGCTCTGCGGGACGTGTACCTTTCTCGAATACGCTTCGCCCACGACTCTGACGAGACCGAGTTTGACTCCTTGTTGAGCGACGTCGAGCATGCCCCGGTTTGGACGCTTTCCTGCGACGGCTGGAATTTGCGGGTGCGGTTCGATACGACGAACATACAGGAGCTGCAACTGCTGATAGCCTCCGAAGATGATTATGACGACGACCTCGAGGTCTTCGCCGGTTTCTTCCAGGAGAACGAGCTTCCACTCCTGGACCGCTTGTTTCTCCGCGTAAAGCTCTCTGCCTTATCTCATCCTCCAATATCCACGATTCGACGTCCATGCAATTTGCAAGGAGATATTTCCGAATCGGCTCACGCTCACAGCAAGTTAATTACTTTCTGAAATCCGCAGTTCCCCGGCCACGTTACAGATGCAAGCGACGCCGACGCGGCGGCAGCACCGGCCGGCGAGGTCGTCGACGACTCCGAACGCGAGATCGACGACGAATTTGTGCTTGACAGCCTCAGCTTCATCAAGCTGGTGAATTTCAGAGGGACGAGGTTCGAGCTGCAGCTGCTCGCCTTCTTCCTGAAGAGGGCCCCTGCCCTCAAGCAGCTGGTGCTGGTCACGGGGGGAGAAGAGGGAGGAGCTCCGGGTCCCGGAGATGAGCACCTGGAGGTCATCCAAAGGCAGGTGTCGGCGATGCGGAAGGCATCCCCACACGCACGTCTCACCGTGTGCGGGCCGTGCCAAGACCGCAGCCAGAATCCTGTGCACACGAGGCTCTACGACGAAGAGTAATCGGGCCCGGCCCCATTTGATCGATCTCTGAACAGATGGATTTTTCGGGCAGTGTTCTTGTGTGAGATTGCTATGGATGTGTGAAGGTGGGTTTACAGATCAAGTGGTTGAGAGAGTTTCCAAAACTCACGCTCAACAATTTCCTATTCTTTTAACTTCCAATCTTTCCGTATTTGAAAAAATTGACCTAATAATAGCTTGGAAATGGAAAAATAACGTGCCTATTGATATGCCATTATGGAGGTGGAAGGACGTGGGGGAAGGACAAGAAATAGGACAGGGTTTTCAATGCAAATGTACAAGAGAAAATATATAAGTGATTAGAGTGATTTAAAAAATAGTCTAGAATTCATGATGTAAAATTATCTTCTATATTTTTAGAGTGATTTAAAAAATAGTATAGAATTTCTAATATAAAATTGTATTCTATATTTTAGGAGTGTGATTTTAAAAACTGTTGGAGAAGCTCAATAAATATACGGGTGCCTATTGATCGGCTAATATGGAGGTGGAAGGATGTGAGAAAGAATGAGAAGTAGAATAGGTTTCCCAATGCAAATGTAGAAGAAAAAAAATATAAAAGTGGTTAGAGTGATTTGAAAATAGTTTAAGATTCCTGATGTAAAATTGTATTATATATTTTAGGAGTGAAATTTTAGAACTATTGAAGAAGCTCAACAAATGTACTTACAGCCTTTTTTAGTTACTTGAAAAATTCATTTATTTATCAGTTGATTTTTTGGGAGCTATTGGAGATGGAATAAAATCCTCAAACTTCGACTTGGATGACTGCAGTCGAAGAAGGACGGTTGTTCCATCACAATCGGGACGTCCACCATCTGTGGGAACAACGACCGGATCCATATAGCACTAAAAAAACACTTATTTCTTGTTGGACTTGCTTGCTAAGCATGTAAGTGCGTTGTTTACTAAAATAAAGTGCACCCTGAATGACGAGCAACTCGATGTCAGAAAATCGCGAGTCATATATCTGTAGCATGGCATATCGTTTAATTTTGGATTCTGTGTTATATTTCGGCCTTGTTATCTTGTATTGCCTCACTGTGTGCTTTCTCACTGCTATATTAGACCTATCACAAGCAGTTCGTAAACTTCGTCATAAGTACTTTTCGGTCTCAGCAGTGAGTTGTTGTTGGTGATGACATTCTCAACACAGTCGGTTTTACGACCGATGGTGACAATAAATTATCACAGTCGGTTCATATTACTGTGGGGGTATAACCCGGTACCCACAGGGCAAGACATGGGTTACGCCATCAGAGGTGGCACAGCCCATAAGATCAAGGCGTGCGGCGCACGGCACTAGTCGGCGTGCACCATAAGGCTACAAGAAGATGTGATTTATTAGATATTGTATAATACTAAATAGGATACTTTTCTTGTAACCCGACTTCTCCAGAGCATATAAAGAGGGGCAGGGGTCCCCTAGTCGACATCTCCATACAGATTCTAGGGTTAGCCTAAGGCATCTGATCATACACAATACAATCCACAGAGACACATGACATATGGTATTACGCCAAGTCGACGACCTGAACCTGTCTAATCGTTGTCTCTTGCGTTCTGTGTCACCATCCAGTTTCTTTACGCGCATCTCCACCGATTTATTTACTACCGTGGCCACGATAGACTGCTGTACGTATTTCGTCGACAGTGACGCGCCAGATAGAGGGTGTATGTGTTGATCATGACGAACCAGATGACGTACCTCGAGATTAACACCATCCATGACAAACCAGATGACGTACTCAAGATTAACACCATCCAGCGGCAACTCAGCATCGGGAACATGCACGAGATTGATTCTGTCCTTCGTGCCGTTGTCGCCAAGGGCGTCCACTATTTTCTGCCGATCTAGTCAGTTTGCTGTCCTCGAAGTTGAAGACGAAGCCAGGTGCATCACGTGATGGCTCAGGCCCGCGTGGAGCCAAGTTCGACTCCCACCTGTGCTCACGAGCCTCTGCTGTCTCCGCTCCGCCGAGTTCGACTCCGACCTCTAGATGCAAAGCCCGAAGAAATCCATCTACGTGTCGACCATGAAAGCCTCAATGGAGTCAATCGGCCATGATAATCAAACTTGCATCTCCGCATGCATACACGCGTATGGAAGATGCAAGATCAATACGCCGAGTTACAACATTAAAAGCTAAGTCTTATCTCTTTTTTCCAGTTAGGTATTATACTGCATGTGTATATCTCTATGCATCTACATGCGCTTTCATGGTTATCCGCAGCGGCAATCGTCGTCATCTCACATCCTCGACTTGTCGTCATCACGGTTGACCTACACGCTGCGTCTCTCTTCGCCAGCACCATCCACGACAACCCGACGACCTAGGAGTCCCACGTCGACACGACATTCTAGTGCTGGCACCGATCCACGGGTCCACGGCGGCAGCATTGAGCGGTGCTTGCATCGCGGCGCTGGAATTCGTCGTCAGGCCGCAGGCCTAATCAGTGATAACCATCGCCGTATTGACGTGGAGCTAGAACACAACAACAAGCCAGGAAAGACGGATATCGATCAGTCTACATATACGAACATGCAAACCTGATCACATACACCTCTTGATGACGGGAGCCTTTGATGACACGACACGCTCAGCTACTCGCTAAGCGAGCTGCTCCAACCATCAACCGAGCCGCCCGAGCCGACGAGCAAGCCGCCCGGACTGCTCAATCCGATCACCTGCCGCGTCGCAGTGATGATCGCCACGAAGAATGACGTTGTGACAACCGTGACCGCCGCCACGACGACAAGCCAAAAAGCTCGAGGGCCGAGCAATTTGGTCGACGCCGACCAGGCATTCTGTTTAAAGTTAAGTCACGCTTTAATATTTTTTCTAAATATTTCCCAACCTTCATATATCTCTGTGATGTTTCTCCGAACTGTTTTCTCCATGTTTGTTCTCAAAACGATTTTCTTTCATGTATACCATCTTAAAGATGACATACAGCTAAGCCTAAGGCAAATCCCCGAACAACCATGTTGATGCTCGGATGTTCCCAGAGACGGTCCTGTCTCCGACTTCTCCCTACACATACACGAGCGTCTGTCCTCTGCGTTAGGGGTGGTCGACAGCGGCTCCTTAGTGACGCCCTGCTCTTCCTACACGCATACGGGCTCCGCGCTCCGTGTTATGATTAACAGGCTAGCTAGGGCTGAAGACTCAGCTACACACTAACTAGTCGGACGGTTTATATTAAATATAAACACTTCTTCAGAATAACACTAAGGCCACGTTCGCTGGTCTGAACTTTGGCTGAAACTGGCTGAAAAACACTGTTCCGGCTGAATTGTTGTGAGAGAAAAACACTGTTCCGGCTGAAAAAACAAGCCGAACAAGCCAAATTTAAGACAAGCGAACGAGGCCTAAGTGTTCACACCAACTGATCATCGAGTTGCATACGCTATTTCATCGCCATTGCTGATTCTTCTTCGGGGTTCATATATTTTATTTTTACATCATGTACTACCTATTCTACATATTTGTTTCGCAGGGGCATGGTTCGATCAACGAGCTTACGCTCAGGCACTGGACACAGTGATCGTCGTTCGGGTGGTCGGACCACCTATCGGACGGACTTCATCGCCAACCAACTGGTCGGACTACTCGGCACTCACTCCTGCTCGGCGTTCAGTTCGCCGCCAACCAGTTGGTTGGACTGCTCATCGCATGGGCTTCATCGTCAGCTACGCTGGGGCTCGCCGGCTACGCTGGGGACTCCTCGGTGTCCGGATTCTTCGTGCAAGCATTGCTAGCTAAGCTAGGGACTCCCTTGGTGGTCGGATCTTGCTACGTCTTATCAGTGTGCTATCAAGTTGCTTCATGCTTTTCAGATCAGGGTGCTGATCTTGGGCCGCATATCTGGGGTCTTGTGAAGTACATGGCACATGACGTTCGTAAGCTTTCATTAAAAATTCTTTGACCCTGCTACAAGATATCTTCAAAATCTTCCAGCAGGCTCAGGGACTACGTGTGTACACGTCCTCTCGCGATGACTGTATTTATTTCTAGAGTAAAATACATCGGAGGTCCATTAACTTTCGGTGAAGTGTCATCTAGGTCCATCAACTTTAAAACTGTATTTTTGGATCCTTTAACTTTCGTATTGTGTCATCTAGGTCCATCAACTTTGAAACTGCATTTTTCTCCGTAAACTTTTAAAATGGTTCACTGCGAGTCCACGCATGCTTGCATGCACGTCGGCTTCGGCTGCAGTACATGAGCGGCTGCAGTACAGTAGTATGCCCTATAGACGGGTCCTGTTGCGTACGTGTGCCTGCGTGTACCTGTATCCTCTGGCCTGTGTGATGGCATCAAGTCAGCGCTCGATGGCCGGTGTGATGGCATCAAGCAGGCGGGTGGCCACACACCGCCACACGCCGACGCCGCTCCCGTGCTCCGTCGCCGAGGCTGTGTGGCCATGTCCTTGGGCACGGTGACGTACTCCTTGTACACGCCGGCCTTCACGTAGATGACGAAGCGGCCCTCGAAGGTCTTGGGCACGGCGGCAATGGCCTCGGTGATGGTATTGAAGTCGCCGCTCCCGTCCGGGGCCACCACTTTGTTGGGCTTCTGCAGGCTCTGGGCAGCTGCAGGAGCCTCCGCTGGGTGGCCGGCATCCACTTGGGGAAGTCGCCGGGCGGCACCTGGCTGCGCTCGTCTTGGATCTCGTCGAACGTGCCGATGAGGCCCGTGGTCAGTACCCTGTGCTCAGGATGGCCACCGGACATGGTGTCCTCCATCGTTGCCTCATCAAGCTGGCGCTTGGCCTCGGTGGCCGCCTCGTCGATCCCCATGAGCGTCCGGGACAGCAGCTCGCGCTTGCCGGCTAGCTCGTCGGGGAGCTCCTCCGCCGCGAGAAGCTGGCGGTTCGCCTCGGCGGACGTGCTGGCGATGCTCTCGAGCTCGGTCGACAGAAGGTTGCACCGGGCAGCGTGATCGGTCTCATCGTCGGGCGACACGCCCAGCTTT